GCCACCTCAGCATGGGCCGTCACCAGGGCCGAACGTAAGTGCTGGCGCTCATCAGGGGCCAACGTAGTACTCAATAACTTGATCTCGTCACAGAGGGTCCTCACAACTGATACGTAGGGGGGAACAGACCCAGGCCGGACTGGCCGCGCCCCCAACAATGGATGAAGTTCCGGCTCAGGCTGGGCGAACTCTCTGGGGATGTCTTGAATCTCATCCCACCACTCTATCCAGCTAGTGCAGAGACTCTGCATAGCACGAAGTTGGACCAGAACCACCCCCAGACAGGGGGAATCAGTAGGTGGCAGGGACTCCAGGGCCAGACGAGCCTGCTGTCCCAAGTCCCTCAACTGGACTGCCTTGCCCCGCCGCGCGTCGCCGTCCAGGGGCGCCATGGCAACAGCCGCCAACTGGATAGCCTGGGGTCGGTCCATGGCGAACGATCGAACTTGAATAGACGAAGCTGCAACTGGGAAGATTGATGGAAACTGACTGGGCGCGCATTCAGTCACACTTGCCCCCCCGGACATGACCTGCGCCTTTTGCCACAAATTCACTAGATGTACAGCCTAGGCCAATGCACGTCGGTCCGGACCGGGAAGCACAACCTGGCATGACTTGCAAATCTGGCGATCGTACCCCAAGGCCTCGTGCACAGACGTAGCACGGTGGGTATCGCCCCGAAAGCCCGGAGACGCCTGTCTCCACCGGCACCACGGTGCGCCTTCGCGCTCTACGTGCCACAACGCCCCTGCTTTGGTTGAACATATAAACACGACAGGGTACCGCGGGAGCTGGGGTAGGTTCCCTCCGCAGCTCGACCGGGCCCAGCTAAACAGCGCCTCGCCCCCGCGTCTTTTCAAGACGCCTTGGCGGTCAATCGCTCTCAGCCCTTCCAGTCGCGTGTACTCCTGATCGAAGTCGGTGCGCTTGATCCAGGCAAGGAGGATGGCCATGAGAATTGGTGCCCTATGCACTCCGGCCTGACAGTGGACCACAACATTCTTTCCGGCAGCCAGGGTGGCGAAGGCCGCTTGTTTAATATCCTGCAGGGCCTGATCACGTTTCACGCCCTGGTACGCCACAGGGCACGACATTTGGAAACAATCTCGCTGCGCGACCCCACCAGGACACTCAGCGGCGGTTTTCTCCATAGCTGAGGCAATGAACCCAATATCATTGCCGCTCACCCACCGAGGGTCTTTTGGCAGACCAGCAAGGTAGAGCGACCCATGGCCGTCAGCGCCCCAGAAGACCAATGTAGGGGGTTCTGGTCGTCCACCATGTCCAGGGTGTGCCCAACGTTCACGAGCGGCAATATCGAACATTGCATCGGAGACCTCATTGATCGGCCCCGCTGGCAGCGGAGGGCGCGCCTTGGCAGCCGGTGGCTGCGGCTTCTTCTTGACCGCCACTGCCGGAGTCCCCGGCACCCTGACAGGGGATGGTGGCTCCGCCAGGGCCTGGCTGGCCGGTACAGGCAGTACCACAGGGGCAGGAGTCAGCCTGTGCAAAGGAGGCTCATCCGGCCTGGGCGCCAAGCGCGGAGACACCGAAGGCTTCGGCTGCGGTTGTGAGGACGAAGATCCCGTCGAAGCTGTAGCTGCCCGCTTGCGCAAAGCCCGAATAATCTTCTGTCCAGCTGTACGGATTACCGCCAGGGACGCCGGCAACAACGACTTTACCATGGGCATGCCAGGGATGTCTTCAGACGAGGCACGAATGACCCTGGGGTTCTCTGACAGCAACTCGTCGGCGGCAATCATAGCTTCAGACCAGCGCTCCACAGCGGATGTAGTCTTGATTTCTTCCCAAAGAAGCTCACAGGCGCTGGCCAGGAACAAAGCAGCAGCAAGCCGGAGTTGATGGCCTTGCTTCTGTTTCCGAGCATCGTAACGCAATGGAGTCTGCGCTGTAGAGCCCCCACTCGCAGCGTCCGTCCATTGTCCAATGGCAAGGCGCTCGGTGTCAGTGAGCCGCACGATCCCCGCTAAGGTGGGCACCACCCGCCTGAAGCTGTACGAGCTGAGGTTCTGCACGTCCAGAACGCCATCGAAATAGGGTCGAACCACTCGAAGGAATTGCCCAATGGACACGGGGACACCTGTGTCAGAGTCGAAGGCCAAAAAGTGCCAACGACGATACCCTTCGCCATGACGTGGACGGACCTTGTCCAACTGACGAGACCAAATGGCATAAAGGTCGAGGCTGCCCAAATGCCGAGGGATCGACCAGGTGAATCCGTCCCGGGATCCGGTCTTGCCTTTGAAGCACCAGAAGATGATGATGGCGGAGTTGGCGCCGATAAGGTAGCTTCGCTGCACGTGGCAAAACCGAATAAGCCCAAACACCATGGCCGCCGCGGCCATCAGGATAGGCCAGTGAGCATGCTCGGCCGTGTACTCCAGGACCCCCAACAGGTGGGTCACCATGCCCGGCTCAAGCGGGGCGGCCTGGGACTGCCCCTGTCCCAGCCGGGTGCTCCGGACCGGAGCCGGTTTGGAAGCTTCCCGCAAATCCAGTGGTACACGAAGGTTTCGAATCATCCAGCCCAGGGATGTGAAGACACGTGTCGGCCCATGGTGCTCCCTGATGAAGGTGGCCAATGCATGGGGGTCGGGAAACTTCAGCCCCAAATGATCCATATAGCGCACCAAGTCCTTCCAGGTGTGGACCACGCGCTTGATGGTCGCCGCCTCGGTGCGGGCACACAGCTTCTCCAAGCGAGAAGCCCAATTGGCCATGTATTCATCTCGTCGTGCAGGTGGTGGAGGCATCAGTGTCACCATGATACCCAGCAGGTCACGAATAAACAAGGCAGCGACTCCACCTTGAGCATCAGCCGACTGGGCTGGCCGCTTCTTAGGCCTGACATGCCCAGCAAATGAAGACGGCTTCGGACGGGCCACCGAAGATGAAGGCAATGAAGAAGCCGGAGCACTGGATGGTTGTGGCGGGCGAGACTGGCTAACTGTCTCCCTCGCAAAAAGGTGCCGAACCAGAGCCGCCATCCCCGGCTCGCTCTCACGGCGGGCGAGATCCCACCCATCGGCCACTGCGCGACCAGCTTCACGAAGTGCTTCCTCGTAGGAGGTAAACCAAAAAGCCAAGTCGCTGGGACTCTGAATCCCCATCCTGGTGCACCAGGTATTCAGCTTCTCCTGCTCAACCGCGCGTCGAGCATCTGCGTCAGCCATGGCTCGCACACAAAAAGAATCTTGCGAATCAGCGACCCTGATTCACACGAGCGACACTCCTTTTGGCTTGAGCCTCAAGCTGAAAGGAGTGAGTGAACTGAATGACATCAAATAATTCCTCATCACCGACCCTGCCTACCTTGAATGAATGAATAAATTCTATAATATATCATCTGAGGGCGAAATGCGAACGTGCTAGTGCTAGTTAAACCTGTCCTTTGGACTTACTGGGTTTAATAGGAGTGTGTCATTGACTTGTCATTTCAAGCCAGTCATGTACGAGAAAATGCTTTGAAGCATGAAGGCATTTGCAGGTGATGAGGAAGCTCACCTATCTTGAAGCCTCAAACAAACGTCCCCAGAGGTAAGAACCTGAAGACGACCTGCGGAAAACGATCTTTGCTCACTTTGTGATCTTCAAGGCACCGTGTCTACAGTGGTCACAACTAGGGCCCAGTGAATGAGGTCACAACCAAAAGCCTACAGTGTATACAGAGCGCTTTTGATGTGCCACATGCGTGTCCAGGAGTCCAGAATGTCCTTTTTGTGTGTTCCGAGGCATGGCTTAAACAGTTGGCGAAGTTTCATCTAAAACACAGCCCTGGGCCCTGGGCCGGAAGAAAACGTAAACGTTGAAAAGCAGGAACCCTGGCTCCATAGAGCCGGCACTCCTCACCCACTTTGATTTTCAGATCACTCTCCCAACAGACTTCCAGCTCCAGCACGCCAAACATGGACGAGGGTGGATACAGCGTCATGGCGGGAGCGTGTTCGATGGATTTTGCAACCTCCTCTTCAGGTCTGTCCGGTCTCCCCAAACCCTAGGTGGACTGACATGCCTTTCCCTGTCTCGGACAATGTATGGAAGTGGAAGATCTCTTTTGTGCGAACCATGTCTCGCTTCCACGTGCTTGAACTGCCTTTTGCTTGCCTTCAAACCTTGGTCTGGGAAGACCCACCGTTGTGCTGCAGCATGGCTCATGACCAATACTCGAAATGGACGGCGGAAGCGGTTTTGAGAAAATGACAAATAAAAGATGATAAAAGGAGGCTCCATGGCATAGAATGTGCCCTACCTGCCGCTTGAGATGACTTTTGCTCGTTGGATGATCTACTTCTCACAGTCAAGCTGTCAGAGACGGCCAGAAGAAGCCAAGTATTGCGTTCGAACGCAAGGTTTTTTCACCGCAAATGGTCTCCAGCACTGGGTGATCGAAGTTTCTTCCAAACACCTGTTCATGGGTTTTTTTCGTACAGACACGTAGGACGGGTCATCACATGGGACGCGTCCCATTCTCCCAACTTCCTGTCCTGGAAGTCCAGGAAAAGAAAAAAAAATGGTGGACCTCGCCTTGTAGTGTAAAATTAATATGACTTAATGGTGGTTGGAAGTTGGAAGCTCAGGGAATGTATGAAATCAAGGAAAAAGGCGTTCACCACGTCCCAAACGCCAGTGACTGCCAATGAAAAGGAAGTCCCATCAGTGCATCATTCGGAACCCAGATTCTTCGAGATTGTGCGGAAGAGGTTGATCAAGAGCCATGATGGTGCCACTGGTCTTTATCACATCACATCCTTTTGGGGGGAATGGCTCAAACGGAAAGAAGAAAAACTTCTTGAAGGATAAACAGGAATGGTACCCTTTCCCACACCCACACACTAACACACACGTGTCTTTTCCAATCGTCTAGCAAGATTGGACCCTCGATGCCCACCCATCCCAAGCTCCAAACATCACCAGGCTCGCCAAACCGCCAAACCGCCAGCCAACTCCGTCGCCCAAATTCCATCGCAACGGCCGGTCACCTTGCGGCGGCCGCCCCCGGCTGGGGGTGCTGCTGCGGCCAGCGCCTGCGGTCGGCCCATCGGCACTGATTGAATATGGACGCAGGTGGCCCATCTCTCGAAAAGGTTTCTACCTCCTCTGGGTTGATGCGAGAACGAAACTCTGAAAACAATTTGTCAAATGGAATGAGATGGAATAAGGTCACATTGGTTGAGTGTAGGTGTCTTGTAGATCTTAATGAATGTGCCATTCGTCGCACAATCTCCCACTCGTTCAGGCAGATATTTTCTCTACAGCACTGGCAGGCTCCCTCTGGGAACCCTCAAAAATCTCAAACATTATGGGAGTCTACCGCCCTCGAAGACATGGCCGAAAATGGTCCCGCTTCCTTTTTTCCGGAAAATGACAGAAACACACATGTTTCGTTGAAGATGAACGTTTTCCCCTAAGAATCCTTGGACCCTCCACTCGGGGTAGAGGCTCCAAACCCAATGGTCTACATGTTCCACGCCTCTTCACCACCGTCAAACGACGTCCACACATCCACCCTCCGCGACGGTCTCACGCGGCGACCGTCGTACCTGGCGTGGGAGTACCTGGGGCGTCCGTGGGACGACGGAGCCGGTGCAGCGTGCTGCGGCGTGGTGCGGCACGGGCTCCCAGTTCCGAAGGAACTTCCGAGGAAGTCATGATCCGCCCAAGTCGGTGCGGCTTTAGGGGGGGTTGCCATGAGTCTGGACTTCCTGGACTTCGACTGGGCCATTTCGATGGGCGCCAAGTGCCAAGCAGCAAAGGTGTTCTTTTTGGGGGTGCGATGTGTGTGGAGTGGTCCTGGGAGCGAAGAACCAGCAACCTGCAACTGGCAGGTTTGCCCTGGTTACCGAACAACCATATGGTCTGGCGGCCCATCTGATGGGTGGTCTCCTTGTGTTGCGGTCACCAAAAGCACACAAAAAAAATGGCGCGCGTCTTCCTCCATCCTTTGAAGAAGTGACATCCCTAGCAGATCGAAAAAGGGCGGGTCTTCTTGGGTGGCCTCCGTCCCTAAAGCCGACCTCCGTCCCTTTCACCAGGCCTGCTGGAGGCATGCTTCGAGGCGTTGGGGCCTGGCACAGCGGGGCACAGCTGGTCTTGCTGGAGAAGGAGTGGGTTTCTTCGAGTGCTGGGTGGATCCTGAAGATCCTGAACCAGGAAAAGTGGAACATTTGATCACCTTGGATTGGTTTCCCTGCTAAACAAGAACGGTGAACATCCGTGTCCATCACGAAGCCTCTTTAAGAGCTCTTGAGAAAGTTTGTACACGTGATGATGGTCGCATTTTTTGATGTCCTCAACTCTTTGCAATGGCAAATCCACAAGGAGGTGTCTATCGCCTACGTTGAATTGTGGCATTTGTTTGTTTATCGGAAATTCACACTTTCTTGCGTTGAACCCAAAACGACTTTTGGGCAGTTGGTGCGTGTGCTCAAGCGTTGGTGCGACATTATCTTTTCGGTTGGCTCACAAACACTGCTACCGGGCGTACACAACCGGGACGACACCCATGCGGGTGGGCATTGCCAAGAGGAGAGATTTGGGGCGCTCGTCCTTATTTAATGTTTTTCCACGGAGCAATTGCGAGCTTTTGCCTTGAAATTGTTGGAGATCGTGGGATTTTGATCTGGATTGCTACTGTGGTAATTAGGTTGCACGCATCTCTTTCACTGTTACATAGAAGTCTTTTCCTTACTATCCGTCCTGAGTGTCGATAGTGATGCCATTACAAGACATGGCTGGAGAGGTGGAACAGGAGGAAAAACTGTATACAACAAATATTTATTTACAGTAACTTTATTTTCCAGGTAAAACGGCTCAGGAGCCCAGCTTCCGTCAGGCCAGTCAGCTCAGTCAGCTCATGATGACCATCCCGGATGCGTTTTTGCGTCCGCACGGCACAGTTTCCGTCGGTGTTCATCCACACCCGATCCGCACAGGAGCCCACCTTCCGTCGATCTGCACCAGACCTCACAGATCCGCAACGCGACCGACTGGTCGGTCGTTTTTCGTTGGAGACCAGCGAGCCGAGCAGCGAGCCAAGCAGCAAAGACCGGACCTGCCAGGACCTTCTCAGTGACCTCTTCAGGATTGGTAAGTGACCTGAAATCGAGGCCTGTTTGTGACCTCAGTCACTGGGATCTCAAAAGGTCACTGGGAAGGTCCTGGTGGTGTTGTTTTAGTTCCCCCCCAAAAAAAGATCTCCGGAACGCTTGGCGATCTCCGGAAGCGGCTTCCGGATCGTTGAGATCAACCAGTCGACGCTTCTGGCTCGGACTGAGGCGTCCGGCAGGTCTCGCCGCTCCGCGCCACGACTGCCCTGCCCTGGCGGCGTGGCGTGGACGGTCGCCCCACGTGGGGCGTCCGGCACCAGGAATCCATGAGGACCGCTATCATTGATTACACTCCCTGGAATCTTCACATGGAAACAAGAAGATGGCCCCTTGGAAGACCATTTTCCTCTAGGAACTGGGTGCTTTCCACTTCCATGTTAGTTCCAGAGCAGGAATGAACAAGGTATAACAGAAAGTCCTCCAGTTCCTGGGAGAGACTCTCAAACCACACCGAACGTCTGTTGAGGCTTCGGATCCGGACGAACGAGGATTCGGAACCTCGCGTCCTTCAGGTTGGACTGTTGGACGAGTATGAAGACTTCTTGTGGGAGAACGCAACTAATATTAGTGGTTAAAACAACATCTCCATGAAATAAACTATCCATGAAGACAAGTAGACAATGAAACTCAAGTAGACAAGTCCGTAAAGTATCCACCCATATCCATCCAGTGCCATGAAAGAAATTGATATCTCAGAACAGCACACACGACCAGAATCTCCGACCGTCCACGAGATGTCCTAAGGCCTAAGCCCCTTCTATTGGGCCAAATCACTGGAAGAGCGGCATGCTTGCAGTAGAAGCAGAGTATATGGCCCATTGTGCACAAACTCCAACTTGAGTAGAAAATAGATATCAGTGGAAACCCTGCATTGAAGCTGGACTCACATTCTCAAGTCCATAAACAGAGAGATCTTTATCGTCCTTATCTTCAATCCTTCACTCCGCTGCATACCACAGCAAACTAGGCCGACAGCACGGCTGCCGGGAGCTCGTCCTTGCCTAGCAGGAAGCTGCAAAACTGCCAATGAATGTACATGAAGGTACCAAATGGTGCAGGACAACTTCTCCATCAAGAGCATATCAGCACGTTCTGAAAGATCCCGATATGGTATCAGGTGCACCAACTGTAGGACAACCATGGAAAAGAACCTAGATCTTTTGGAAAGGTATGCTTCTTTGGCATATGCAAATGTTCCAAAATGAATGGATGCTACCAGCTTACAACCATGAACGGTTGTGGTTGGGTCACTCTGCACAAGAAGCTTGCGATGATTTGGCGGAGCTGGCACCGGGACACCTGATATAGCCCCTGCGGTAGATTGACCTCCCCAACCGTCTATTCTCTTCATTTCCGGTGTGGGAAAAAAAAGAAAACACGGGTGTCCCGCTTTCGACCCACAGCTCTCTCCACCACAGAAGTTGATTGATTGCCGAGAACATCGGCAGTGGCCCCACACATCTGCTGAGCAAACGGCGCTCATCGGAACAAGCAAGCAAACCAAACCAAACAGCTTGAATGACATCGGTGTCCCAGACCGACGTCTTCCAAGTCCGCTCAACAAACTGTGCATAGGCATGTCTGAAAATGACCCATGTCTGAACTCCTCTCAAATCCGCTTGTGGTTTCTTCTCGCTCTGAGGACACCTATATAGTGGGTGCCGCGCAAGCGCACACGTCACACACGAACTGGTCACACGTCACGAACTGGGGCGTCGGGCGCCAATTCTGACAGCGGTGCGTGTGATGGCCTAAGATCAGAGCGGGTCGGCAGCGAAGGAGGAGAAAAGGACAACACAAGTCGATGGGTCAACAACTAAGTAATGTTAGAAATTGCATGAAAAGTCATAGAAGAAGCATTGGATGTCGATGAATGCGGGACTGATTGATGCTTGAGAAAAGAAAACGCCAACCTAGCTATCAGAAAGACATGTTTCCCTCCATGTATGGATCTGTCAAATGTCGAGACCCCTACTTCACAACAGCTTCCTAGATGGTCTTAGAACCCTTTAACATGGGCATCATCCATTTTCCGAGTCTTCGCGCCCTCGTGCTTGGACCATGGCGTTCTTTCCCGTCCACACCCCCCCCGTCCGACCCGTCCAGCCCCCGTTCTTCCGGGCGAAGATGGTGGAACAACGCAGTCCACATGTCGTTCGTGACGATTTTGGAACAACGCCACTGTTGGATCTCAGCGCCGGCCCCCGTTGTTGCGTGACCAGCATATACCAGCTGATTCACGCGCAGTGACACTTGCAAGTGAGGGGCCGACACGCAACACTTACACCAGGGAATCTGAGCACACCACGGTCACCACGTGGGGGCTCGCGATCTGTTTTGGCAGAGAGACACGCAGAAAGGATTGGCGCTGGGCTCAGTCCAACAGACCTGTGACATCCACGTCTGGGCCGTGAGCAGAGTTCATCTTCCAAAGCAAAACAGGCGGACGCAGAAGGCGGACGCAGAAGGCGACACTAACTTGTGGATGTCTGACACCAAAACCCTGAAAAAGGATTGGTTGTTCTTCGGTTCTCTACATCTTCTAAGGATGCTACAGCAGCTCGTTGGAAACACTATGATCAAATATGTGTATAAATGTGACATGGCATGTATGCTGAAACTCGGGCGTGCTCATCTCACACCAAGCTTTGAGTTGCTTTACGCGAACCATTCATATGACAGGCCCACTGAACATGAGCGGGGAGGTGGTTTATAGAGCTGAACTTTCAAGGTCGGACGTCAAAAGAAAAAATATGAAATTATACCGGCATAGACCCCAGATAGCATTTCAAGAAAAGTTAGACACCATGGCAAAAGCGCGCTTCAGCAAATCTTTTCCAGCCCTGCGTAGTTCGCAGTTGGAAAGTACGGATCGCTTGTGCAAAGCAGAAGGCTCCCAGCCAAAAGCGAAATCATGAAGGGAGACAAGATTGGGAGACAAGGCGGCAGCGGTACAAGAGCGAAATCATGAAGGGAGACAAGCTCGGAAGACAAGCCGGCAGAGGCAGCCAAGAGCGAAATCATGAAGGGAGACAAGCTTGAGAGACAAGGCGGCAGCGGCAGCCAAAAGCGAAATCATGAAGGGAGACAAGCTTGGGAGACAAGGCGGCAGCGGCAGCCAAGAGCGAAAGCATGAAGGGAGACAAGCTTGGGGAGACAAGGCGGCAGCGGCAGCCAA